GCCATGCCCTGGGTGCAGTCAAGAAGGCAGCTGGGATGACCATCAAGAATCCCATACTTGGCAAACTGCGAGAAGCAGTCAGAGGAGGACAGGAGGAAATGGCGTGGAGCAGGAAAGGGAAAAGCTGGACAGGACAGAGCCAGGATGGAACTCCAGGAAGCAGGGAGCAGTGCTCTGGTGGGGACAGGAGATGGTGCATTGACAGACATCACCATTGTGACAGGTGGCTCCTAGGAGCATGGCAGGTGGGGCCTGGGCAACTCACCTGTCTTTGCCATTCTGGATGGAAGCCTGGCCAAGGCTGGCCCTCTCCAAAAGCGGAGAATTCCTGCTTCGATTCGTGCTGGTGGAGAGGACACTGTTCTGTGGGGATAAAGGGTGAAGGCTGAGTCACACAGAGTGTGTCCCCTCATCAGGTCTGCAGACTGCAGACCACAGGTTACAGAAAGGATTTACTTTTACTCCCAAGGAAGAGGCTTTCCACAGTAAGCAAAGCAGTGGGAAAAGGGAGCAGGGTCTGGATAAAGCAAAGAGCTGCCTGGAGACGGCAAACCTTGCCACAGGAAGGAAGGGAAGATAGGGAGGAGGGGCTGAAAGGGGGACAGGTGCAGCTCACCGTGGAGGGGGTGGGGGTGGTCTTCTTCCTCTCCACACCGGGCAAAGGGCTGGCAGGCACTTTGGCTGTGCTGCTGGCCTTCCGCCCTGACTCCCGCTCCTCCTCAGGCCGCTTGTTTTCTGCGTTGTTACTCTGAGTTTTCTTAGTGTAGGAATTGGAGGTGGGAATGGCAGGTCCAGCTGTTGGGTCAAAGGGAGGGTGGGCAGGGGTAAGGGCAGGGACCACTGAAGGCCTACCCCATGCTTGGCCACTCAGCACAGCCCTGGGTCACAGTGGCTAAGGGAGTTGAGGGACTGGCCAGTGGCCATGCTATCAAGAAATAGCTGAACCAGGACTGAGACTCAGCTGGGACCTCTCTGGAGAGGTGTGTGTGCACCACCTATAAACTTCCAAAGCACTTACCCTGGTCACTAAAGCGCCGCTGCTTGGGGTTGGCCGAGACACTGCGTTGTACCTTATGGGATGGGGAGGGGGCACTGCTATTGGTCAGATCAGTTGAAGGCCGGGGCTTCAAAGTGATGGTGTCACCTTCCAGCTGTAGAACAGAAAATGTGGCTTCAAGGGAAGGCAGAAGTCCCTACAGATGGTCCTACTTACATATACTGCCCAGCTCTGACACCCAAATCCCAGACCTCCACAAACTGCAAGAACAATAGACACCCAAACACATTTGCCCTAAACCCCAGATACACACATGCCCTGACACAGATACCAACAACCACAGTTAACAACAGCCCCACAAAAGACATCCTGCCCTCAGAGAGGGACACACATGCCACACCACCAGACATAAAACCCACTGGAACACATAATCAGACTAAAGGCCACTCCCACCCCCACATGCACAGAGCAATTATTGGCCCATAGCCAAGTGCCACCAGATACTTCTTAAGCAGGCTGAAGTGAGACCCAAGAGGGAGACACCACCACCACCAGGGGAGAGCAGGGTGGGGAGGTTGGGAGTGTATGTGGGGTGCAGAGATGATAACTCCTCAATGGGCAGAAGAGCAATCGCAAAGCCTCCATGCCCGTAGATAGGAGGACAGACACACATAAGATACACAGGCCTAGATACAAGTCCCGGCAGAAGTACCACACAGAACCTAACTTTCTCTAAGACAAAAGAGACCACCCACCACAAACACAAACCCAGTGACATCCACTTCCAGATAGAGAGAGACACACGAAGATTTCTAGATGAGTACAGAACTGCCAGCAGATGAGCTGGACCTATTCTGATCAACACAGACCAAGATGGTGCAGTTGCTGGGGCACAGACGAGAGACGGCTGCCGTGCAGTGGTTAAGGCCATGTGGGAGGCCTGGGTTTGGTTTTTGCTTCAACCTTAATAGGCCAGGTGTGGTGATGTGCACTTATGGACCTGGCTAACTGGAGCAGTAAGACCCTGTCGAAACTATCTACCACTCTCTCTCTCAACGAAACAACAGACGAAGCACGGAACCAACCCAACTCACACACATGGAATCCTGGACCCAGGCTCAGAGGCCTCTAGCTCTTATCCACATACTGAGAAAGACCAGTGCGAGGGCCAGAGGACCTAGACACTACAGCTGAGGTGCAGACAGCACACCTGCTTGAAGACAAGCTTCTGCCCTCAGCAGGTGTTAGGAGCATGGGGTGTTACTGACAGCAAGGCTGGCCAGGTCAGGAACAGAGCAGGGGGCACACACCTCAGAGCTCTTGTAGCCCAGGAGCAGATAGGTGGCCATCACCTCATTGTACCTCTGGCCCACCAGCGAGTCCTGAATCTCTTCCCGCGTGTAACCCATGGACACCATCAACTCTGCACAGAGAGACATATAGTTAAGGATGGCCTGGACTCCGAAGCAGGCTTGACCTCATGACCCGCACAGCCTCACCTGTCCGCCGGGGGTCTTTGTAATCAGGAAGTGGCTCCACATAAGGCTTCAGTTCATCATCTTCGTGACCCACATTCATCCACCGATCTTTCATGATTTGCTGGGGGCAAAGGGAAGGGAAAAGGACAGAGGGGAGGAAACTCAGCCTGGAGGTTTCTGTGAGAACCCCAGCTTTTCTGACGGTCAGCTGGGTTCAAGACTGCTTACCTCTAAAGTGCCTCTCTTGCTGGGATTAAGAATGAGAAATTTCTTAAGCAGGTTTTCACAGTCCGTGGACATGTAGAATGGAATACGATATTTTCCCCTCAGTACCCGTTCCCGCAGCTCCTATCAGAAGATCGAGGGTAAGAAAATTTAAATTATACAAAGGCCAAGGACAGAAAACTGGTATCTAGGATTCTGAGAGATTAAGCCTGCCCAGTCAGACAGAAATGAAATGTAGTAGACAGCAGACAGCCTTCTACTGTACAGTACACCCCACCAAAGGCAATGCAGTAAAAACCCTTTGCCCTCTAATTTGACCAGTCTGAGGCCTGCCATCCAGAGTGCCTTGGAGGGGTGAACACACACCCAATTTATCCCATTTCTTGAGAAAGATATTGAGGTTATTAATTGCTTGTTGCAGAAGATCTTTTAACTGTTGCTACCTTCGTAAGCCCTTCTCTGAAGCTCTGGCTTGGGAAAAATGTAGATAGGAAGCAAAGGTGAAAGGTCAGGGTTTAGACCAGAGGCCAAGAAAGAAAATGAGAAATAACAGAAATGATCTAGGGCCAGGAGGTGGCGTGGTGGTGAAGGTACTGAAACCCACATTGGCCGATCCATGGTCCAAGTCCCAGACCCAATGGCTTAAAGAGCATACTGGGCACATGTGTGTGCCCAAATCCCAAGAAAAAAATAAGAGAGAAGGTACTGTGGCATGGCTATCGCCCCGGGGGTGATTTTTCACTCCCTCCCACACCGTCTGTCTCTGGTGAGTACACATGTCCTATAGCTAAAAAAAAAAAAAGTGATCTAGCTTGTACTTCACTCCACCTTGAGGTTCTGTCCGTCGAAAGGCAAGGATCCGCTGACCAGTGTATAGAGGATGACCCCTAGGCTCCACACATCCACCTCGGGTCCATCGTACTTTTTGCCCTGGAAGAGTTCTGGGGCAGCATAAGGAGGACTGCCACAGAAGGTATCCAACTTGTTCCCAAAGGTAAATTCATTGCTGAAGCCAAAGTCTGCAATCTTGATGTTCATATCAGCATCCAAGAGCAAGTTTTCTGCCTGGGAGTAATATGGAGAGGTACGGAAACCACGTGAGTCACATTAAGGCCCTGGGCAGGAAGGAGCTCAGGGTGATGGGAGGATAAATGCAAAACCATCTTCAGTCTCAGAACTTTTTCTACTAACTCTGGGGCAAGGCTTCAATCAGTGTAAACAGGCTAGGCAGGAGAGCAGCACAGGCCACTCCTCGCACAGGCAGCCAAAGGAGGGCTGGTTCCTAAAGGCCCAGAGACCCTGTGAACTGTGCAAAGTTTCAGTGTCAGAGTCAGGTTAATCATAGCCATGTCTGCAAGGACTCAGTGGCCAAGAGTCTCAAGAGGAATATCTCAGTGACAGAGATGGTGTGTGCACACAAGCCAGCAGAGCCGCTGTGCTACAGCTATTGAACATTCAGCATCTTCCCCTTGGTCAGCTGCCAGGTGGCCTGAAGGACCAGGAAAGCCTGGAGTACTCTCACAATACATGGCCACATGGCAAGTGATATACCGAGAAGAGAAACAGCAGATAGCCCCTGCTTGCTGGCTGGAATGGGCTCCTAAGTCCAGTTGCAAGGCCTACACCCACCAGAAGTAGCCCTAGGGGCTTCCTGGTCATCTCAAAAAAAAAAAGGGGGAAAGGATAACATTTTCTGAATAGTTAGGGTCTGATGGTTATTGATGTCACACCATGGAGAATGGGGAGAACAATCTAGCTCCACTCACAGGCACAGGAGAGCAGAGCGTGCCTTACCTTCAAGTCCCTATGGACAATGAACTTCTGATGGCAGTACTGCACAGCAGACACTATCTGGAAGGAAGGAAGAGGGGTTAGCCCAAAGGTGCCTGAGGGTGGGCCACAGGGTTTGTGGGCCCACAACCTAATTCTAAGTTGCTACACAGATAAGCAGAACCCAAAGTCCCCTCCAAAGGCCACTTATGGACAGGAAGGTCCTTCCTTGTATGTCAAACTCTAAAAGACAGAAGTCAGGCCCATACTCCATGGAGGGAGTCACACCCACCTGACGGAATTTGGCTCGAGCCTCTTTTTCTTTCATCCTGCCATGAGCCACTAGATAATCAAACACCTCTCCTGCAAGAGACAGGGCAGGCATCTTGGTTAGAGCTGGTTGGGGTTGGGAGAGGTGGGGGTGTGACAAGAAAAGGAGTTCCACACCTACCACCGCTAGCATATTCCATGACAAGGTAGAGCGTTTTCTCAGTCTCAATCACTTCAAATAACTTAACTGTAAGAAAAAAGGCCAAACCTCAAGTTAAGATAAGTAGCAGGGGCCATACACTGAGCCTCAATATGTACAGATAATCCTAAGAATGAAAGTTTTCTGCTTCACGTCCCTCCCCCCAAGGACAAGTTCTTCTCATACCAACCTAACTACTAAAGACAGCCCGGTGTGCCAGAGGTGGGGTTGAACTCTGAACTGAGCTTCTCCAGAGGCTGCCTTGACATCTGGTAGATTCCAGAAGGCAATGTGCCTCGGGAGAAAGACTACATGCCGAAGGTGCAGCCTTGCCATGGAGGAAGAAGAAGGGAATGATAACTTGTTCTCACCTATGTTGGGATGATTCAAAACCTTCATTATTCTTACTTCACGGAACAGCTGGAAAATAAAACGGGGTTGTGCTTGCTTAGCTTGTCCCCCCCTCAGGGTCCTCCCAACAGATCCTCTGCTTGGGGTCTTTTTCCAAAAAACAAAAAAGAAAATAAAACAACCAAAACCAGGCTAGGAAAAGAAAAAGGGTAGTTGTCCAGCTCGTCCAAGGCTGAAAAGTGGGAGCTGGGGAGAGAACACACAGGGGGAAAGGATAACATTTTCTTGAATAGTTAGGGTCTGATGGTTATTGATGTCACACCATGGAGAATGGGGAGAACAATCTAGCTCCACTCACAGGCACAGGAGAGCAGAGCGTGCCTTACCTTCAAGTCCCTATGGACAATGAACTTCTGATGGCAGTACTGCACAGCAGACACTATCTGGAAGGAAGGAAGAGGGGTTAGCCCAAAGGTGCCTGAGGGTGGGCCACAGGGTTTGTGGGCCCACAACCTAATTCTAAGTTGCTACACAGATAAGCAGAACCCAAAGTCCCCTCCAAAGGCCACTTATGGACAGGAAGGTCCTTCCTTGTATGTCAAACTCTAAAAGACAGAAGTCAGGCCCATACTCCATGGAGGGAGTCACACCCACCTGACGGAATTTGGCTCGAGCCTCTTTTTCTTTCATCCTGCCATGAGCCACTAGATAATCAAACACCTCTCCTGCAAGAGACAGGGCAGGCATCTTGGTTAGAGCTGGTTGGGGTTGGGAGAGGTGGGGGTGTGACAAGAAAAGGAGTTCCACACCTACCACCGCTAGCATATTCCATGACAAGGTAGAGCGTTTTCTCAGTCTCAATCACTTCAAATAACTTAACTGTAAGAAAAAAGGCCAAACCTCAAGTTAAGATAAGTAGCAGGGGCCATACACTGAGCCTCAATATGTACAGATAATCCTAAGAATGAAAGTTTTCTGCTTCACGTCCCTCCCCCCAAGGACAAGTTCTTCTCATACCAACCTAACTACTAAAGACAGCCCGGTGTGCCAGAGGTGGGGTTGAACTCTGAACTGAGCTTCTCCAGAGGCTGCCTTGACATCTGGTAGATTCCAGAAGGCAATGTGCCTCGGGAGAAAGACTACATGCCGAAGGTGCAGCCTTGCCATGGAGGAAGAAGAAGGGAATGATAACTTGTTCTCACCTATGTTGGGATGATTCAAAACCTTCATTATTCTTACTTCACGGAACAGCTGGAAAATAAAACGGGGTTGTGCTTGCTTAGCTTGTCCCCCCCTCAGGGTCCTCCCAACAGATCCTCTGCTTGGGGTCTTTTTCCAAAAAACAAAAAAGAAAATAAAACAACCAAAACCAGGCTAGGAAAAGAAAAAGGGTAGTTGTCCAGCTCGTCCAAGGCTGAAAAGTGGGAGCTGGGGAGAGAACACACAAAGGGGATCTGCAGCTGGAATAAGGCTGAGCTTTGGCGGCTTGCTACTCCAGCCTCAGCTCCTGGTTGATGCAGCCATGGACTCTGCCACCTCCACCCAAATCCAGCCCCAATAGCAGCGGGGTTTGATGGGGTGCCTCTGTAGGAGAGAGTATGAGCCCATGTATGTGAACAACCAGAACCTGAGCTGCTGCTTCTATTCAGTGGCAAGATATACCCTAGCTTGGTCTGTGTGAAGAGATGTAGCGTTCTGGAGAGGGAACCCATGCTTTTTGGATATACAGAAGACAGAGGGCTTGATACTGGTGGATAGGCCTTTTTCTCCTGGGCCTCTGGGGTGGTGACAGAAGAAGCCACTCCTATATATAGCTGATGCCAATTTTAATCAAATCCACCTCCACACACTCACGCTCTCTTTGTGAAACAAATCAGGGGCTCTAAACCATACATTTCCAAAAAGAAAGATGACAGAAATGAACTCCTTCCCTTCTGCGGGGGCCAGAGAACTGGAGGTGGGGGTTTTTGTAACTTCCAGGCTCACCACTTGCATGAGAAACAGGACTCGTGTGTGTGTGTGTGTATGTATGTGTGCACGTGCACGTGTGTGTGTGTGTGTGTGTGTGTGTGTTTAAGGAGGAGGAGTCTGGAGCCTTAATTCAAGATACACTTTAGGGAATAAAGTGAATACATTTTTCCTCCTTTAATCCCAGAGCTTTAGTGAACTGAAAAGGAAAAGAAACAGGCTTTCCGATCTCTAGGAACCTGATCTGACCATAGCTCCCTCTGTTAGAACCCAGGTTTTGTCTTGCTTTCCTCCCTGGCCCAACAATAATTTTGGATGAAGAGACAAGAAAAGTTTAATACCTCCTGAAGGGAGGTTATGGGGAGCAGCATTGAAATGGGGCCCAGAGGGTGCCCACTTAGCCTGGAAATAGCATCCTCCTTGGAGAGCTTAGAGTCTTCTGGGCCTGCGTAGAACCCCGAGGGGGTTTGTCCTTGAGGGATAACTAGTGAGATTAAGTTTAAACAGAGTGATTTGGCCAGAATCAGATTGGCCTTGGTAACCAATTATGTTGAAAGGCTTTTAAAGTGGCTATACTGGTCTGGTGCGGGTCCCTTCCAGTCAGTCAGAAGAAGCAGGGAGAAAAACGAGAGGGAAAATAAGATGGCTTGGTTAGCTCTGGCATTGTTACGATGACAGACTAAACTTCTCCAAAGACCAAATGGCCCTCCTCATGTTGGCTTCTACTTGTGTGGGGTGGAAGCCAGAGGTCAAGCAGAGCCGTCTTTCCCTTCCTCTTGGAAAGCTCCAAGCAGGGAAGCCCTAGTGATGACAGCAATGTTTCCTTTGAGCCAAAGAACCATTGAAGGAATCCCAGGGATAACAAAAAATAGGAAACACCTTGGTCCTGGCTGTCAGCATGCCAGGGGAACTCAGCCCATACACTCGAACTCTGACAGCAACTCCCTCCGTGACAGTCCCTAGTCCCTTGTCCCAAGTTTCCCAATATCACTGTACTTGAGTCTGTTAGTGTGGAGTCATACCTCTCCCTAACTCACTACCATGATGTGCTCAGAAAAGAAAACGTCAATCTGCTTTAAGATGAAAAGAATTTGGTCTTGATCAGAAAATCTGAACCAGGGTCAGCTGGACTATGAAGACACAAAGGTGCAGCCAAATAGGGGCAGCAGGTTTGGAGCCAGACAAGAACCTTCTGCCTTCCCCTAACTGCTGGAATCCAGGACTAGAAGAGAGGGTAGAGTGTGTCCAGTTCTACCATAACCAGTCACTGGCAAGCTGTCCCTCTTCTGCAAATTAGTCTCCCTTTCTTGTCTCACTCCTATCAGTTTTTCTTTTCTTTCTTTTTAAAAATTATTTTATTTTTATTTGTTCAGAATTTATTTTAATTTGACCACACACACACACACACACACACACACACAGACAGAGAGAGAGAGAGAGAGAAAGTAAGCCACCAGGTCTGGGACTCAAACCTGGTCGGCTTTATGGGAATGTCCAGCACCTTAACCACCACACCACCTGCTGGTCCCTCCTATCAACTTTTCATAGTTTTTTTTTTTTTGGGCAGAGGGTATATGGGAGGTTCCCCTAACCACTGAGTAAGACCTGTTTCCTGCTGTCCATTAAAGGGGGAAAGAAAAGTTCAGCCTCATCCAGCAATAACTACTCTGTTACCTCTAACCAAGAGGAGCCTAGAAGTGAGAAGGAAAACTGGCAGCATCTGTCTTTGACATGCAGATGTTGTCAGAGACTTAGAAGAAGAGTTCTGCTTCTGAAGACCCAGTATTTCTACTCATTCTCTACAACATAGCTGGCACAGAACCCAATGGTAGGTTCCTTGCCTCCTCTTATCCCTGTACTTCTATAGCCACTGCCTGGATCATTCCAGACCTTGGAGTTAGCAGCATGTGTTTCTAGTAATGGCTACAGACATGTTTTTTTACACAGGGCTGGCCATAAGCCAGACGATAACAAGATGCAGGAAGTAGGCCAGACAGGTAGGCTAAGTGGCTGAGAAGGGGCAGAAAGACTTTAGATGAGCCAGAGACTACAGCCAGGAAGCCCACCCAGGAGCCACCACCACAGGGGAACCATCCAAAGCGCTGGAGATAGCAGAGCCATAGGAAAGGGGTGGCACAGACAGTGAAATGGCCAGAGATTTTAAACCAAGGGTTCAAGACAAAGTCCAGATGTGTCAGCAGATCACTGAAGTGGCTAAAAAAGAAACCACGTGCTTACCTTCTGGAGGCTAGAGGAGTTCAGTTGAGTTTTGTCAATGATCTTCACAGCTACCTGAACATGATTAAAAAAAAAAAAAAAAAAAAAAAAAAA